AACAATGTCGGTCTATTTTAATTCTCATTATCCGTTCGGTGGAGGTACGAGTTGTGATGTTCACGCGGCCACACTGGCCGCAAACACGTCCACACGTCAAGGTCACCACGCCCTTTCTATTGACTATTGCCACCCCTATTAAACGGTATTACACGACTGACCTCAATATGAGGTAACTGCCTTCGGTCTACTTTATGGTCGTGTCATCTTCAGACTTTTCTTTTGTCCTCAATCATCGCTAAGATTTTTTCGGAACGAGTATACATGAGTGATGGGCCCACAATATGGTTCGAATCACTAAATGATTCATATCGAAATGTGGGTTAAAGTGGTAAAATACATTGACGACTGTATTCTTTGAGATGTTGACTTGCCAGCCGACAATTTCGTTGAGCTCGGTTATTCGCTAGTAAAAAGGTTTCAGGATTTTGAGGATAAACGGAGCTACAAATTCTAGGCTTAACTTGTGGTAAGTACTTGGAGTCCAGTGCTACTCGATGAAGGAAATAACTAATACGAATAACTTACTCCTTTTCTATCATTCATAAGAAGGTTGAAAGCTTTCAGCATCTCGACGAAAGTGCGCATTTTTTCCGAATACCGTTTTCTGATTTATTTCTCATGTATATGCATAAGCAATAATAAACGGTGAAAAAGGATAAAGCTCCCGGCTTTGATCAATGAGGCCCCTGAATGAGGCGCCATACATTCGACTTCGTTGAGCACCGTTGGAGGTGTTTGAATCCATATATGTGGTATACAGTGAGTCGCGGTTGTCTACCGATGGCGCTGTTATTCCCATACAGGTCCGGCACAAATCTGCTGACCCCGGTGAGATGGAACGCTTGGTGAGACTGGGAAGCGAAATCGATCCCATCTATATTCCAGGGCGTCTTTGACCACTGCGCTACACGCGCGTCGAAACGTTATCCGAATAAAACTCTTATAACAGCCTTGTGGTCCTCAACACTCATTGTATAGGCCAGATATGCATTCATTACGACATACAATGCTTAACAGAGTGGAATTCATTATAGAGAGTCACTACGTACACTTATATATTTCTAATAAGTATATATATACATATATATATATATATATGAACGTGAAGAGATTGAAATATTAATGAAACAAGCATGCACAGACACTGCAATACAAAAAAATGCGTGAGATACGTGAGACAAATATGACTCATCTTGTCGCCACTCTGTTACAGGCAATGTTTAGGTCTTTGAAAATCAAAAAAGAAAAATATGGTTGTGAGATTTGCTTTTTGAATGAAACTGAAGGCAGCCTTAACTTCTTATCAACAAAAACGCAGTTTTAAAAAAAACGAGCAAAGTAAGCGATGACTACATTGCATTTGAATTACATTACGTTACCATTACCATAAACATTACATTGGCAACATCTTACGTTTATCATTGTCTACTTTTCAATAACTTTAAAGTCTTACGCGCTATTTCTTTCTAGCACCTTTTAGCCGACTAACTTCTCCTCATTTAAATGAGCTGTGTAACCAGTGCATTATCTTGTCTCTCAGTTCCATTTTCATGTTTTTCGTTTAGTTAATTCATTTTCTATCCGAATGACATCCTTGCACAGAGCTTTTTCTGAGTTCAACCACCGATATCCTTGCGAAATAAATATTTTGCTGAACAAGTCAGTAGACTCGACAGTGTCGTAGACCTTCCATTTTAAAATTCTAGTCCATCAGGTCGTAGAAGAAGTTATTATAACTTTGAAACGACCATAGGGTTTCCTTTCGTCGTTATTATTATTATTACTAATTGAAATAGCTGTGAGAAACGCAGAGCAATAGCCTCCGTGGCGCTATGTGGTGTAATGCGCAAGCTCCCGGAAAGGGAAATTGTGGTTCAATCTGGCCCAGGGTCAACGTTTTGCGAATATCTTAGCATCGTTGTGGTTGTAATTAATATCACAACTTGCCGTGAAAAATTATAGTAGGGCGAAAATAAAGAGTTAACATTATTACTAACATTGTTATTTATTATTAAGTTACTATTATTATCAGTTATTATTATACTCACCTTTTAAAATTTAATCGCGCGTAATATAATGCAATAACACGTCACTACTGCTGAAAACTTTATCACCCACAAGGATATTTGGATGGTCCATGTTCATGCGTAGTGGGGACCCTGTGAAGCACATTCCATGCTCCAGTAACTTCTGAAGTCCCGAGGTCAACCTAACTAGAGCCTTTCCTTATCATTTCACTACACTTAGTCATTAGACTTTATGGATAACGTGAAGATTTTCCACCTTACAACTTGTTGATTCTAGTACGGCGACGATTCCTGGTATTAGTTCACTCCTTGCTGAGCCTTTCGGGTGGATACGTCGAACTGCTCAACTTGGGAGATCCTGCTGGGGATGACATCTCCACTTTGCAGTGCAGTTGAATATTCAGAAACACCTCCTAGTCGCGTCAAGGCAATAAGCCATTATGGAGGACTTCATCGTTTATTATTATAAGCATTACTAGCATAAATTTTAATTCCGAATAAAAGTTCTGTCCTTTGATGAGTGGAAGTCACCATTTGTGAGTGGTTTTTCTCTCGACTTTTTGTTACATAGTTGCGTAGGATTCAGTGGTCAAATGGCAATCTGCGTCTTTCCCCGCTGTGTTCTATTAAGATCGACAATTTCCTCTTTTAGTTGAAGCATTTTTTTCAAGTCACTTATAATTTTAATTTCTCTGACTTTTTTATGTGAATGATCGGTGTTGTCATGTTGATCCTTTCTTTTAGTTCTGTTAACTAAGCCAAAGAGTCCTAAAGTCAAATAGTCTAACTCGTTTTTCATGAAAGTGCCTTAACCAAGTAAAGATTTAAAGTGGACTAATATTTTTCCGTAATAAAACAGTATGCTTAAGCCTAACGGATTGTATGAGTTTCATTTCGCTCAGCTCGAATCACAAGGCAACTTCTAGTTTCGGTGAAGATTCTTCTCAGAACTTGAGGTTCGCATCAATTTGCCACCTTTTACCAATTTCCAGTGACCATTCAAAGAAACTGTTGCTAATTTTGAAACTGAACAAACGAGCTGTTTGACCTAGAAATATGGTCATTCGCTACGAAACGGACCCATTTGGTTGTCCGCGATTTGCATATAGGTCGGCATTACGATGGCGCTGAAATGCCGGCGCGTTGCTAAGTGACTCAAAATCTTGACCCATTTAGGATATTTGAGAATGAAAGCGACGGATCATGAATACCGGTGTTCGTCACTGCCGACGGCAGCGGCGAATCGCCCGCCACTGCCGCGCTGCAATCGATTGGCGACGCGACAACGACGGAGTCGACGACGACGACCGTGAAAATCAACTAGCCACGCCCCCGCGGCCACGGAACTGTTTCGTTCGCGTGTGGGAGCAGTCATGAAAGATTTGAATAGTTTCTGTCGTTGTCGTGACTTTATCGACTTTCTACGAGTTCAAGCCGCAATAAATGATGTTCTTTGCTCGTTCTTTGAAGGTTATCCAATCGAAGACGGTCATCAATTTCAAGAGATCTCACAGCAATTGTTTACTCGTTCTAATTTCACAATTTCAACCACAAATTTGCTTGACACCAGAATAGAACTCTATTTTGAAGCCAGTTAAGATAGGCTGAGCAGTAAATCAATCAATATAGGTCCTTCGAACGCGCCAAGAAGTCCTAGGTGACGGGCACGGTTACCGTAATAGGGATCGAATCCGAATATACCGATAATGTTTTTGTGTTTGTAATATTTTATTCGCCTTCCAATGAAGGTGGACCGTTTACCACTTGCTCATTCAACATTTTCTATATGGATTTGACTTTTCATAGGGAACCAGTACTTTTGAGAATTACTTGTTTGTTTTCAACTTTGTTCGTCTGTTTACTCCTTTCTGGTAACTCAGCTTTAACTTTTGTACTTTAGGTGGCATTGGGAAGTGCTATAGACAAACGATGAATGCTTTAGCAAACATTTCTAGAAAACAAAACGGCAACAACAAAGCAACAATGAAAAGAAAAGATTTAATCAGTAAACACAGACACTTTGTTCGTTATCATTTTATCATATCTTTGAAAATATTTAGTGTCAAACATCGACTTATTGCTAAGAAATGCTTTCCTCATGAACTCTATTGGACTTCTATCCTTAGATTGGTTGTCCTCAAATCACCTGACATCCTTCAGTTTTCCCGCTCGTTTGGTTTTCTGGCAACAACTATAGATGTCAGGCTTTGCTCGTTGCTTGAAAATTTCTTAACTTTTCCAACACGTTTAATGTGCTTCAAGCTTTGTGGGTAGGAAGGAAGTTATCTGTCCTGCACCTTCTAGGATAACAACAATTCCAGTGGCTACTCCACTGGCTGATCGAGGACAATGACGACAGACAGAATCGGTGAAATTAGAGGGCTCAAGTGTCGAGCATTCATCGGTTGTATATGAAAACTTAAACCGTGATGATGGCCCTAATTTCTGGATTTCACCTTGTTTCCCTTTTTTATTTTTCGAATGTCAGTAACCAAAAAATGAGCAAATATCTGCTCTCTATTAATAAAGTTACGTATTATATACGTCCCTAATATATATGCGTGTATACATGAAAACATAAGTGTGTGTGGTGACACAACCCGTGTGAGCCATGCATGTCTCATATTGTCGCCAATGAATCAGTGGTTTTTACATTCAGTTCCATTGAAAGTGGCTCCAACTTTTTCAACTGAAGTACAAATTTTTCACTTTGTTGAAGCGCTTTTTTAGAGACACAGGCAGACGACTTTCCACTTACCTTTCATTCAGCTTGCATCTTTATAGTTTCAGCCCTTGTAGCCACAGTCCTTACCGTCACTTTCCGTTCGCACATTCCTTGTTACTGTTTCGCGTTGGTTCATTTTGTTTTCTCGTCATTCTGGAGAGATGTTTACTACTCGTGTTGTCCATCTCTGGGTTTCTTGATCTTATATGAGAATATATATCTATTTTCAGATGTTATACGGCTAAATGGCATATGGCGAAGTGTCGAAATGCGGTCGGAAGACGGCGTTGTCCACGTTCTTCACTGTCACCTTCGTCGCATTCACACTTTCGGTCATCGCTCTTATCAGCCCATCATGGCAGTACGTCTACCTGGAAGTAAATGTTTCCACTTCTCAGTTCCTATTGTGTCCGACTAGTATTGTGCGTTATGCTCTCATTTTTACGCGCAGGATGGAAGATTCTCAGATCGATGCTAGGCAGGATTTCCACTAAAAAGTAAAGACATTTAAGAGATAAAGGAGTAGGAAAGATACCGAAATGTAGGAAACGATAGTAGATCCTTATAGATCCTACTGAATCATGTCATTCCACAATTATAATCATTGTAATTGCACGTTTAAACTAGCGCTTACTTGAAAACTTGTTGCTTCTTAGATTTGTGGAAAGTTTAACGTTCAGCCTTCAAGCAGTTCCTAAATTCGCTTGTCTCTAGATCTATGTAGACCTAATAAGAGCAAAACATTAGCATTGTTACAAGTGAAGAGCTACGAAGAGATTTTATCCGTGTACTTCAACTTTCGATTATGGTTTTATTCTCTCGTTTTAGAAATTCCATTGGTGATACGTTTTCTACATTTGGTGCACACTCAAACAAATCATTAGCAAAACATATATAACCTATGTAATATAGTGTATAACGACGGGAACAAACAGAAACCCCAGATGAGGTAACTCCACATGTTATCGGCTTTTTGTTAAAGAATGGGCGTACCGAACACCATCACGGGCTGTGGCTAGATTGCAAAAGAGACTACTCATTTGATTATGGCCGTACAAGGGAGTACTATGAAACTCTTTACAGGTACACTTCATTTTCGATTTCTTACAGTTTTAACTAACAAGTTTGTGGATTTGGAAAGCAAGTTTCCTCGCTATTAAATCAATACAAATCTCATTTAGCCTATGGCACTCTGTTTGGACATTATAGTGTCCATAGAGAACTGAACTAAATGACCATATGGACACTTTCATGCCCATATTAAGTTCAATGGGTTCCACAATTTTCATTTATCGCACTGCGCATTATCATTCGATAGATAATGGAAAGAGTTCGAAATAAGAGGGATAAGACAAAAACCATTCTGAACATTTACCGATATACAAAAACCTTTTCTTTTTGAAAAAGTCCATTGGTCGATGATTTGACTAACTCTTAACTGTTCTTGTTGCTATGGTCACCGTATGGAATGTGTGGTTATAAAAACGCCGAGAGAGACTCAACATATGTTGCAAAATATTTCCAGGTGGTGACAGGAAAGCATTTGCGTGACGGACTTATAGCAACGCATAGCAAAGAGTAGCATTCATATTATTTATAGCTGTAGAACAGACCAAAGTCTCTTTTATAATGCTGTCTTATTCAGAACTTCTAAAGCACTCTATTGTTGGAAAATTGTTTTTTATTGTCACAGAGGCAAGTTCTGCAGCTGACTAAAAATTGTTCGAAATTGGCTGCGCCAACCTCGAAATGCTTTAGCCGTGCGTCATGGGTTAATTACTATCTGAGTATACAAATGCATAGATTGGCCATTTGTACAACCCTACGGACAATCATAATGATGCTGAGATATTTGCAAAACTCCGGACAGCAGGTGTCTGCGGTAGGGAACGAACGCGTTATTACCCCTTCAGAGGGGCCAACGCGTTCAGTACCACAACACGCGGGTCCTTCGCCTGTCTCCCATCTAGTTCTATCGATCAGTGCCATTAGCAATCACCTGTCAACGGGATTGATCTGGAGAGCCAAAATCGGCAATGAACCTAGTTAAGCTGAGAAACAGGCGAAACGAAGGACTCGCATGGTGTGGTGGTGAACGCGTTAGCCCCCGGAAAAGGTAAAAGCGCGTTCGTTCCCCACCGCATATACCTGCGGTCCGGAGTTTTGCAAATATCTCAGCACCATTGAAGTTATATTCACAGGATCTATATACGGTTAAGCCCCCACATTTTTCTTAACTGTATTGTTCTCTTACCTTAACCGCAGTTATTATTTAAACACAATGTGAAAACTATCATTTTAGACGGGACCTACAAGGATCTCCATTTGATATATTTTTTCTGCCACCATTACAGTGTGTGTACAAATTTGACTATTATATTGATCCCGAAGATCTCTACGACCATGACCACGACGAGAATCGTATACAGAATGACGCCTACCAACATTTATTTTTAGGTACGCTTCAAAAGATGATACCGGATCACATTCTGTTTATATGAATATATTATATATAGTTTTTTCGTCATTTGCTTGTTTGATGCCTGGTTCTTTGGGCACCGTAAGGCCTAGCTTATTCTGCAAATACTCGAAAAGACAACTGAAAAGTAAGCGATCCTAGTTTTGGAAAACGTGTATTAAAGAGGGCCTTGTAGTTCGGTGCTAGCGGTGTCGCTCATTACGAGTGCGGTTCTGCTTGGCCTCTCGCTAGGCTCACTAATCCTATTGTCCTTCGGGATCGGAGAATTGGTACCAAACTTGTTTGAAAGCCCGGCTGTCTCAGAACTCCAGTAGGGATTGATTCGGCAAGCTTTGAACGGCACCCACAAAGAAGACAAAAATCGTCAAGCAGCAGCGAAGCCCACACACCCTGACTTCAGAGACCTTCGTGGTTGGTGGATACTAGGAAGCGAACCGGACACAATGAGTGCCGGGATCCGCACAGTAGTTGTGAAGACGGGTGGTCTAAAAAATGGAAAGTGTTGATGAAAAGTTACAATTTTCACAGGTTCTTCTAAAATAGGTTAAAACTAAAAATAAAACTGAAGCAAGAGTTGGAAATGATGGAAGTAGAATAGGTTAAAAAGTAGAACATAAAGATGAAATGAGGGCCAAATTAAAAATTGACTGGCTATTTAGTTATCTAATTGCTTACTTATCCATTAGGGAGATCTGTTGGCGCAGTCTATTCAAACGCCATTGGAGCTCACACGAACTCATTTCTGTGCTATCAGAGCCAATGAAGGAATGAACCTTTGTGGTTTCCGAATTAGTATCAAATTCGTCCATAAAAGGCATTGTGTTAAAGAGGAGTTGATGCAATCTTTCCATTGTACTTCTTTGTCCAACTTCTTTGTACCACCCACCCATAGTCCACCCAAACTCTTTCAAGTACGAAAGGGCTCCACAAAAGTCGCCTTAATCTTCCGCATCCTTTGGAAAATGAGCTTTTAAATCACGGCTTCACTTTTTCACACCAAAATCGTCAGGTGCGTTGAATAATAACATGTTTTCCATTCAGGTAGAAGTACAAATACACTTGCACAGCTTTTATAAGTGTGCTCTCACAGTTTTGCCTCACACAAAAAAAGGGCTCCATTTCATAGTACTTCTTGTAGTTCATATTTATTCCTTTGGCTGTGAAAATAGTTATATAACATGTTGGATTTTTCAGGGTGGAAAATAGCTGCGCTATCCGGTTGCGGAGTAGCGGTTTTATCTTCGGCTTCGGCGTTATTGTTAGCTGTTTGTGCTTTCTGTCACCGTACCTTCATATGTGCCTCTACCGTACTTATAACCATTGCCGGTACGATTGGTTAACTTTATCGTGTTCAACGATACAACAGTTTTCCTCGTCAATTATACAATTGCAGCTATACTTTCTACAATTGGAATAGCAGTCTTCTACGCATGGGCAAACTATCAAGATAACAAAGTAATCAAAGAGGAGGAAGACACCATCTATGAGGTAAAGATGACCTTTAGGGATTAAAGTTTTACACTGCGTGAAAATTTTCGAAAAAACGAACAAAGAAAGTAAGGAGACAAGCGATAGTACACTCATTTATTTTTAGAATAATTTTGCCATAGATGTCTTCAACGTGGCAACTTTTTCCATGTTTTATAAGTTTTTAAAGTAGCCCCCATTTTGATGGATTTTTCATATTTTCTAAACGGTCTAACCTTTTTTTTTTGTTTTTGTACAGTCGATTTTTCGTGTTTTGTGAACACTCTAAATCTATTCTCCTTTCCTGTTTTTATTCGAGATAAATCATCTTGGAATTAAGCTATAATTAATTAGCAATTGCTGGGATGGGCTTTCTACTGCCAAGTTGTTGCAACCATAATCCAGTGGCTGGCAGCCATGCTCGGATGCTGTGCAACGTCCGTGTCATTCACTAAAACCAGAGCGAAACTTGTAAAAATTGAGGTAGTGTTTAATTCGTGTTCGTTGATTTACCTCCTATTTCTTTAGAAATCACAGCGGTTTAATGAAAGATCACCTGCATCAGTTCTAACAAAGTCATTCATTGGTTGACTCGGGCAGGCACCAGGAAACTTTCCTATCGTATTCGTGGCGCGTTAGAGCTACTCAGTGAGCTCTGCTTGCACGAATACGAAGGAAATTAGGATTTTATTATAGAACACTTATTTACACTTTCTTTGACAAGAATGTAAGCACGGGTTTTGTCCCATTGTGCCGTGAAATAGTATTATTCTTACTTGGATACTCGAACGGTTGACCTCACGAGTTGTGCTGACTCCAGCACATTTTCCACTTATCCTTTTGTCTCGTAATCGTCCATTTTTGTGGTCTGATTCGAGCATGGTGACGGATGTGATTTTCACACCATAATCTGTAAAAGATCGTCAGCTGCATGTACAACTGATTGAGCTTAGTTACGAAAACGTAAGGCCAACGTGTAGATAGATGGTCGTCCAAGCGAACGCATGCATTCTCGTGGAACCAATTCTGCAGTTCTTTTAGGCCATCCATCGTTTGTTCTTTTCATGACATGGTCGAACTCTCTGTGTTTCGCTCTTGATGTGTTTTCTCCTGTACCTCAAAAACCGGATAGATTTCGAAGGTCAGAGCTTTGCAATCCGGCTGGATGTTTTTTATGCTGGTTATACCTTAGAAGACGTCGTTCAAGGGCTTTGTGAGTAGTCTGCAGTATCGTTGACGTGGTTGAGGTATCGGCCCACGTCTCTGCTGCATAACAGAGCGCAGAGAGGACTGTTGAATCAAAAAAGTGATCTTCTACTATTCTTAGCGTTAGTAACGTTAATAGAGTGAAAATGCAAGTGCGCTTGAACAACTAACTCACTTTCAAATTCTCATAAATTGTTACCAATACATTCGCTCCTTCCCCGTAGCACAGAATTTTAGTTAGCTTTCACAGTGATAGAAATATAGTTTGAACAGTTGGCTATCAGATTTGCTAGCTCGAATTGTTGTTCGCCTTTGTACAAATATGTCACGCTGGACTTTACATGTGTTGTCGCACAACGCAACCTCAAGTTTGTGTTGTATCATTTATAGCAAAAATAGCAGTAGGATATTAACGCGCCAGGACAAAGAAGGATGCTGCAAGAGCCCTCTTAGAGAGAATCGTTAGAGAGAGCTATAGAGAGAACCAACTGCAGTTAGCTGAGGAAGCTGTTTATAGTTCCCAAGATCGACTTTCTCTTAACCTTGGCATTGGAATATGAATGTGTCGTTTTCTTGTTCAGCAATCGCGAGGTTTTTAAACAGCATGCATTTACTTCCATAAAAGCACAATACAATACAGCGCTAGCTGACGTTTCGGCAGTATCGCCTTCTTCAGAGCCGCTTTTTCGTGACTTCCAATGAGGAAGTTTAGAACAGCTGATTATAGTCGCATGTGGTTGACGAAGCTGTTTATATTCGTACTATAATAGGCGGAGTTTATCTAGAGTTGCTGAAGAGATGGTTTGAAGAGCAAGTGACAGAACGTTTTCCTAGGCAGTGCCATCTGAAGCGGCTGATTCAGAGGACAGTACGGTAGCCATGAATGCCTGCATCAGAAAAAACAGCGCATATGAAGCTCTAAGGAAGTTTTTACTGCGAACTTTGCCCTTTGAAGGTGACTAGGCATCGCTAGACAAGTACAGGTTCGAATAAGGATGTTTGGTAGAGAAATTATGATAGAGATAGAGAAAATTGGATGTTTACTGAGAACGTTCTCTACATGCCCTTAATAATTTATCACCTTTTCATGTCAAGGTAGTGTTTCTTTGCGTTAAAATGTCACAACGCAGGCGGTTCTCGTTCTGACAGTGATAGCCAAGCTTAAGAAAAAGTCTTCAAAAGTTTTATCTGCAATCGAGGCTAAATGGCCACGGCAAAACCCATCGAACTGTGTTCACGTTCTTGCAAAAAAAGGCAGAGCGTCAAATACGATGTTATAAACTTATCCTTGTCTCTTGGTCTAGATCATCTCAATGAGCAATTACGTGGAATAACTAGAGACCACACTGGTGCCTTCTGTGGTTATTCAATGATTAAAGGATTTGAGATAGTACAGCTGATATCCATTATGTAATTGTGTGGGATCAAGTCATTTGATGCGTGTACTGAAACTTCATCGCGCAATCCATAAAAATGACATGAAGGAATGAAGTGCCATGTTCATGCAGAAAAGCTTAGTGTTTTAGGTTGTTGATGGCAGCGATGATATGGAGCTTCTTTCGGGCGGACACTCATCATCACAACCTTTTAAGAGGTCATTCTCAGTGGGTTTTTTGTTTATTTTAGTACTGTTTACTTAAACGCTGTTATCGTAAGTTACCAAACAATTTTATCACCACTTTACTGCAGAACTCCATCAGCTGCTTGAGTATAAAATCTGAATATGTTTATTGCAGGCTATATATCGCGTAGATTCAAAGTCACTGCGTCATTGGGAACAAGAGTACATGAAAAATGCTCGTGAAAGACAGCAGCGATTAGAAGAAGTAGAGGATAGATGATCATCGGCGCAGACCATTTTCTCATTCAAATGATTTCTAGGCGCCTTTCAAACGAACGGCTTCAGTGCCGAACTTCTCAAAAAAACATCCCAGTGAATCACGGAAGAAAGCTTATCGAAAGCAGAGTCGTGACACATTTTCTCCAGCCAGCTACATCACCGAAACCACGCACACAGGTCACCATGATGCTAGTCTCATTCACGTCTTTGTTTTAACTTTCAAAAGTTTTTAGAACTGTATAAGTGGCTAGGTTTGATGATATATTAAAGAAAAGCATGTTAAGGAGTCGTTAAGCACAGCGGTAACGCTGTTTAACACAGGTAAGGCTTTGTTTCCAATAAGTACTGTATTGATGAGCAATAATATAACGAAGCCATATAGTGGTAATCCTTTCAACGTAGTTGTTTCTTGTTTATTTATTTTCTAAGGTTTAGAGTAACTTTCGTTATTCGTATTTAGTGCCAGTGGTTTAAAAGAAAGATATTTATTCAACTTCAGGTTCAACAAACACGCTGGAAATCAACAGATCCACTAACGCCACTGCTGCTGTTATGCCACCCGCCCGAAACGCATCATCGTCGGCCCTTCCAGCGCTACCTAAATTGAAATCAGCGCTGAAAACTCCACAACCATCAAAGAAAAGTGTGAATATTGAAGATAGCGACGTGACATACGAGTGCCTACCATGTAACGGGTCGATAGGTGTGTCGAGTTTTCTAGGTGAAAGGTAACGTTTATCGTTCTATAGATTGTACAACTTACCAATTTTCTTCATTTTTATGGAAATGACAAAAGGACAGTAGATAATTTTGAAGGGTGCTGAGTTATTCTCGGATTTATTTACGGGTGTTTCGATGGTTAAATTAACTTTCCTCGACAAATCACAATTGGTGTTCTCCAAAAACACGGTCTCATCACTGTGAGATGATAAACCAAAAGGCAAACTGATAGATTTGATAAAATCATGGACCGAAACTAAATGCCAACCAAGCCAACTTTTCTATTCAACAGATCGCCATCCTCACAACGGACATATGATCCGGTATATGAGCAGATTGGACAGGAATACTACCTGGAGCCGAACAGCCTGCGACGTCGCTCTGTTACAGCTCTGAATGTCGGTCAGATAAAAAAATGTGCTTATCATTCCCTCTATGTGATTTGGTTTAAATGGTTTTCCTCTCATCACGTACTCTTGTTCTCGCAAAATCCAATCTTCTGTTGATTTTTTATATCATCTTGTTTACCAATTTTGTCGTAATCTAAGACAATAGGACGCACTCAGTCGTTAACAGATTTCTCTTGTAACTAAAGGCATTCTTAACTCTGCAAAACACTTAAGTAAGATATACGGGACTCCGGTTTGATCGAAGTCATTGGTAAGGTGGGTGTCTTGTTGTACAGTGGACGTACTCTATTTGTAGGTTATGCAGGTGCCATTACTACTGGATAGAATGTTTTCCAACAGCACATCAACTAGACATTAACTTATGCTCTCATTTTCAAACTAAGTGGGTGTAGCATGTTAGAGTTCATGAATAATTAATTACATTAATACGAATACGTATGTTTATGTAGCAGGAACTGTGATTTCTGTCTGCTACAAGATGAAACTAAACCACTGCATCATCATCGTTTCAGCTTTACTACCCACGCAGTTGTTACCTGGATCATCTCAGTCAATTCCGATCACTCAAAAAAAGACTACCGTTATTAATGACGTGGGCCGACCACTATCTTCGTCGGAAATGCCAAATGTCGTGGCTCAAACCAGTCAGAGCACTCATCGATATGTTGCTGAGGAATTGTCACATAGACAAGCGGCTTCCTTAAGCGAAGAGGTTAAGCTTAATTACTATAGTTACATTGTTAGATTGATAATGTGTAACAAATAACAAGACGATCAATGTTTTATAATCTCTATTGTTGTCGCCGATGTTGTCACTGCCTACATATATCTATAAATACAACTATTTCTCAGCTTTTCAGTAAAAATACTCATTAGTGGGGGAGAAGTGGAGGGGAGATTCGGAATGACTTTTTACGTTCATAAGTTAGAACGGTAAGCTTTCCAGGTTATACTTGAGTCATTCACTATTTTTTGACGTTGTTAATCTATTCAGATCTCATACTTCACGGTCTTTGTCATACTCTAGTGTTAATCAGGTTCTGTCACAAACTATTAGACACCCATAAAATTGATTTTCACCTTTTCCCACTGGTTAGTGCAATTGTTTTAGCTAAATACAAAGAAAATGTGTTTTTCAGAACCCGTCAACCAACAGTCGTTCGAAACATTCGATCCGAGATTTCGGCATACCACTTAGTCCAAGAAATGGATATTGTGATGTTAATAAAGTTTTTAATTCGGAAACGAATCGTATAACATACGCTGAGCTCGAAACGACTGTACACAGTCGAAGACCGAGTGCTTCATCTCCATTACGATACATTACAGTTGATAAGGGCAGTACTGAACGC